AGCTGTTGCATTGTGGTAAACTGTGGTCAATGTCATGAGACAAAGTATATGTAAACTGCTGTATGGAAAGTGAATTTGCTCTGTAAATCTTCATCCAAATCATTAAAAAAAAAAAAAAAAAAAACACATGTAATTTTTGGAGGGGTGTTAACACCTGAAGCAAGTGACTGGACTGGGGGGAATGTCTGATTTTTGTGGCTTTAACTTGAGAGTAGCCGTAGCTGCAGCATTAGTACCAGACAGCTAAAATTCCAAATGAATAAGCTACCACATTTCAAGTCAGATAAACTGAGGAAAACAGACTTGAGGTAACAAGAACTGCTAAGGAGTAAAGGGAGGACCCTGGAGAAAGCTAGCAAGAGAAAGGAAAACCCTAAAAAACCTGGTGATCTACTTGTGAAAGATCATATTGATAACCCTATGACATACAATTCTATTCTGATACACATGGGGTTGCCATGAGTTGGAATCAACACAATGGCATGTGGTTTTGATTAATACTGTATTTAATTCCAGTCCATGTTGTGGACTGACTCCTATACCACATATGCACAACAGAAGTAAAGCAGCTCACATCTGACCTACTGCCCTGCTATAGGTGTGAATCTGCAATTTGAGTCAAACTGAGTTAGTTTTGTTTTAAAATGAAAACATTAGTACTTTTCTGAGCGATCTAACAAAATTCAGCATCCAATATATCATTCACAATATTCAAGACTCAATTCTAAAATAACTGATTTACAAAGAGCCAGAAAAAAAGTGAGGCATTCTCAAGGGAAAAAACAATCAGCAGAAAGGTCAACTCCAAGACAACCCAGATACTGGAATTGTCAGGCAAGACTGTAAAGCTGATATAATTATGCATAGTGAGTTAAGAAATATATGGTTATAATCAATGAAAAAATCTCAGCAGAAAACAGAACTTAAAAAAGAAACAAATTTTAGAACTGAAAAACAAAATACCTGAATAAAAATTCACAGAAGGGGCTTAAGAGCAGAACAGAGATGACAAGGGAAAGAGTCTGTGATCTGAAATATGAATAGAAATCACTCATCTAAAGAGGGTGGGGTGGTAAAGACAACATTATTTATTCCAAATGAAAGAAAACCCACTGCCATCGAGTCAGACCTGACTCATAACGACTCCTCCTTGGATTTCTGAGGCAGTATCACTATGGAAGTAGATTGCCCAACCTTCCTTCTGAGAAGTGGTTGGTGGGTTTGAACTGCCAGCCTTCTGGTTAGCAGTCAAATGCGTTAGGCACTACGCCACCCAAGCACCTAAATGAAAGAAGACAGCCACAAAAGACTCATATCATATGATTCTATTTATATGAATGTCCAGAACAACAAATCTATAGGGAGAAAAACTAGTTTATTGGTTGGCTGAGGAGCAAATGGGAAGTGAGTGCTAATGGGTATGGAGTTTCTTTTTGGAGTGGTAACAATGTTCTAAACTTAGAAAGTAGTGATGGTTGTACAACTCTGTGAATATAATAAAAAACATGGAATTATTCAGTTTAAATGGGTAATTTTATGGTATGTGAATTATATCCTAATAGAGATGTTTTAAAGATTAAAAAAAACCACAAAAGACCTCAAGGATTCATGGAACAATTTCAAACATGCAACTGCACTCCCAGGAAGAGAGAAAAAAAAGAGATGATTAGGTAGAAAAATATTTCAAATAATGGCAGAAAAATTCCCAAATTCAGTGAAGCATATAAATCTACAAATTGAAAAAGTTTAGCCAACTTTAAACAGGGCAATTTTGAAGGGAACTATGCTAGACATATTACAGTTAATCTGTTGACTACCAGAGATAAAGAAAAAGTCCTGAAAGCAGTCACATTACTAAATACATGGAAATGATGACTTAGATGATTGCAGAGTTCTTAACAGAAACCACGGAACAACATCTTCAAGTAATGAAAGAAAAAAGCAGTTAAGGCAGAATTTTATATCCAGCAAAAATATTTAGAAATGACAATGAAATAAAGACATTTTCAGATAAAGGGAAACTAAGAAAATTAACTGCCACCAGACCTATACTACAAGTAATGTTAAAGGAAATTCTTCAGGTTAAGGGAAATCATATCAAGGGAATTCAAATCTTCTGAAATGCATTTATTCTAGAGCACTTACGGCAAACATACGGATATAATATTTCTGTGGGGTTTATAAAGTCTATAGACATAATGCATTTGACAACTTTAACATACAGTATGGTGGGCAAGATGATAAACGGATCCATGATTGTACAGTTTCTGTACTTTATGTGAAGTTGTATATTAACTCTACATAGACTGAGAAAAGTTAGATTTTTATTGTAATCCTTAGATCAATCACTTAAAAAATAACGGGAAGTGGTGTAGCCAAAAAGCCAATAAATACATTTAAGTAGAATTTTAAAATTAACACTCAAATGATCCAACAAAGGGAGGAAAGAGGTAACAGAGGGCCAAAAAATGAGGGAGGGGGTGGGACAGAAAATAAATAATAATGTGGCAGACCTAAACCTAATCATATCAATAATTACATTAGGTATTAATGGCCTAAATATAGCAATTAAAAGACAAAGATTATCAGAATGATGAAAAAATGAAGACTTAAATATGAGAGACATATTAGCAGTATAAAGATATACATAAGCTTAAAGTGAAAAAAAAAAATAAAAAAAGATGAAGGTTGCAGTGGCTGTATTAATATCAGATAAAATCCCAACCAAACACCCGCTGT